TATTTATGGGTTTTCAGGGTATCTGTTTCTATGTAATTTTATAAATAGTATTGTAGTCACAAGTTCTCACACATGGTGTGTCTACTTATATGTGGCTAACTGCATTTGTCAATGTAATTTCTGGAGATGGAATTACTGCATAAATATTTCTGTAAACTTATATATTTTATAAGTAAAGCATTGTCATTATCCTCCATAGAAGACACACCCATTTATCTGCCAACCAGTGTCTTTCAATATTCTTGGATTTTCCCAATATAACAAATATAAAGCTGTCTCTCAATTTTATTACACAATTATTTTTAACATATATGAACTATGCGAACATAATTTTTATTTTATATAAACAGTTTCTTCATGTGTAGATATAGATCCTGCTTTCCTGGGGAGGAAGTAATGTGTGTCCATGTTACACCCATTCCCTACAGGTCATTGAAAGGGGACAGCCACTTGCCTAAAAACTTATGAACCTCCCAAATGATTTGGACACCTCTCACCATCTCCAGACTACACTGGCTCTGAATTTGGTTAAAGGGTAACTTTTCTCCAACTGCAGACAGGCCTCAAAACCAGAATGAAGAGGGGACTAACAGTCATTGATACAAGCCTCTGTTAGAATATGGGTTAGACGATTGTCACATAACCTCAGAGGATCAGTACATTCCCAAATGCCAGCTTGCTCAACTGCTGATGAACACAGAATGCTCAAGAAATGTTACTGGGGACAATTCTGTTTGTTGCTACTATTTACTTTTCCTCTTTCAAGCTAGAGGACTGTATTCACTGAAGACAAACAATTTTATTTCTTGACTTCACATCTTTATAACAATCTCAAACCATCTTATCTCTGCCCAAAACTTTCTGTTACAAGCAGGCAAAATAGGAATTCATATAAATAATTTTAACACTTCAAATTTAAGCTTGGATGATGAATAAGAGCTTTTAAAAAATCGAATATAAATATGAAGTTCAAGATAATAGAATTTCTGCTTAAGGAATGAACACAACCCTTCCCTGTTAAGCATAAATACAAAATTTATCTTCTACCCTTGACCCTTATGGTAGTCCATCCTTATATAACTCCTTGGCACTAATTTTTCAGAGAGTATGCATTCCATCCAGAGCCAAATCATATGCTCTTGGGTCTGGTTACTCAGGTTTGAAGCTTCACAACATAGTATTGATACCTCTTGTGAAGAACAGAGGCTTCCTTATTCTCTCCCTTGAGGCATGAGGTCTCAGAGCACAATCTGAGCATTCTAATAAAGTCCACTCATCTTCTACATTCCAGCCTGAGATCTTCAGTCACATAAAAACCACTCGCAGACATTGGCCAAAGATCACTGAAAGAACACAATGAGTATTCAATGAGGCTGGACTACTTCCCAAATGGATAGCAATAAGAGGAGAAGCGGTAACTGAGACAGACATTACTACATATCCACGAGGAAGAAGAAAGCAGACCTGTTTCAGAGTTGTTCCATGCAGAAGTGGGGCTTGTTGCAGGGAATATTGCAGGTAGCAAACATGAAGCAGTTTGTGCAAAGATTTATCACACACTCCCACTGATGCTAAGAGTGGCACAGCTGTCCTTATTCCATGCTCCATGGAACCTGGATGTGCCATTCTGTGTCATCAGAATCTTGCCCTAGAAAGTAGCTTTCACTGGATGATAACCCTGTTCCTCTTATTTTGCCATCCTTTCTGCTCTACAGAAGTCTTATCAAATATCTCTAAAAAAGATGGCTTCTGGGAAAAAAAAGAAAGTAGAGGAAAGTAATGAACAGAAACTAGCATGCACCATCAGGAGACTGGGCATTATAGTGCCCTCTAAGTGATGGTTTGTAAGTTAAAAGCAATCTATCTGGTTGTAAAGAAATGGTTTCCTGAATCTTTGCCAGTTACTCAATCCAGATCTCAGCACACGAAGAGGTCTATCTAGAAGAAGCAGCACTAGAAAGATCATGAAGAGCTAAATAAACTATCCCACAAGAATGCAGGTATGCTGGCCTCACATGGCAGGGTTGGCAGAATTACTCAATAGATTGTAAATCAATATGCACAGCAGAGTAAGAACATCACCACATTTTACCAATACTAAGTCGAGTTCTGCCCCCTTAAGGCCTTGTGAAAGCTCTGTTTTCCCTTCAGAGCACTAGTTTTTACCCCATTTCTGCTTCATTTCCCATCATCCCTACAAGCAGGCCCACCTGTACAAGGCTAGAGAAGATTCATATTCATATCATATCCTGGTTTACCATCTTAACCCTTCCTCTATCCTTTTAGATTTCTACTCAAACTACAGAGAACCTGGTAAACAACTTTCAGCAAGATTTCCTAGATTTTTATATAACATTTTCTATCATATTCAAAACCAAGGTGTGTGTGTATAACATTTTCTATCATATTCAAAACCAAGGTGTGTGTGTGTGTGTGTGTGTGTGTGTGTGTGTGTGTGTGTGTGTGTACCACAAAGTTGAGGGGGGAATGTGAAAAGAAGGAAGGGGTAAAATGGACAATCAAGATGGTGGTGGAAAGAAAGCCAATCGCATGTTCTCCCTCATGTAAAATAACTATGGACTACTTATGAAGAAGAAAGGGACCAAGAAAGGGTTGGTATGAGGAAAAGTTGTACAAGAATGTGAACATTGAGCTCAAACTCAGAGCAATGTATGTGCGAGCCTTCATCACTGAACTGAGTCAGCTCCTTTGCACGGGCACTCAATAAACTTTAAACTCTTTTTTCTTCTGTAAACATTCTGATTGAGAATGGTGAACAGCAGTCATGTACTAGTTAACTGAGTTAAAATTATTGCATTCTAGGGCAGTGTGTTGGAAGTTTGCTGTAATTGTCTTGTTCTCCGCTGCTCTCTGCCATTCCCAGTAATGATCAACTTACCACAGAGACTAAGCTGTATTCAGCTACAATAGCATCAACAATTTTACTTGTAAGTCCACAGGGGAGGTTTTCAAAAGAAATCATTGAAGAATTTAAGGCATACTGTCTAATCAGATATAGAGGGATAGATTGTTCACTGAAAAGAGACAATGTCCGTCATCTCATAGTGTTACTTCTTGTTTGTTCGTGAAGTGTTCAGAAATTGCACAATAGGCCTGATCTCTTGGCACTCGATGGTCCATGTAGCTTGTCATCTAGTTCTGTGAGCTCACAAATTGTTCAGACTGAAATATATTCTTCTATGGATATTGCACTGACGAACCATCACAAGTGGAAATATAAAAACAGAGAAGGACCGTAAACATTTAAAAACAATATATGTGTCTACAGTCTAGAAAAAGGAAAGAGGTATAGAGTTCCAAACTCTATCCAAGAGTGTCTGAGCCAGCACAAAGTGATGAACTGCTCTGCTGGAATCAGGATGAACAGCTACAAGGAGCCACTGTATCATGGTTATTTCCTGGTTATGAGAACAATCTTGTCACTGTAGTGCTGGGGGATAGAGGCACCAACATAATTTATCTCAGATATTTTTCCTTTACATTTTGACAAATGACTGGCCACCTCTCTAGTCAGGATGGTTTTGTTTATAATATTTTCTAAGTTATGAAACATTAATAATAAGGCTATTAAAAGATATTAGTGCTCATTACTATGGCAGCTTCATGGCCTTCATCATGGTCACTTGTCTTTTGTTATGGTTTATGAACATTTTTGCTCCTTAATATTCTGTTGGTCATTCTCACTGGTGATTATAATGTCTCTATAATATTCTTATTATTCCCAAATATATGCTTACTTTTATTTTTTATGGAGCAGATTATTTAGGTTTTAAATTATATTGGCTTACAGAACAAACAAATATTTTAATCATTTTTCTTTTTCTAATTGAAAGACATCAATTTATTTTTTTATTTACTGTTTCCTATTTCTCTCCATTGTATATTGTTGTTGCTTCTGATACTATTCAAATTCTGAAATGAGTTTTCCTAGAATTGCAAACTTGGCATTTATAGACTTCTTGGGGGGGCATGGAGGTTGTAACACTCCATTATTATAAGAAATAATTAAACGGTGAGTTGTTCCTGATAAATATATTCACAGTGTTCATTCTCAGAATCTTCCAAAAATTAAAGAGCCATTCATCTAGATTTTAAAAAGACCTGCATTCATCCTCCAGAGGGCAGTATACAGCCCTTTGCAAAGACATTACTGAAACTCTCCAAAGTTTCTCGTTAATTCCTCCCTCAGACTAATTTCATCTTGGCTTCATTTCCCGTTACTCTACTAACATTAAAATGCCCTTATAAATGTTTCTCTTACAGAAAACTTCTTTGCATACAATTCCCATTGTTTCTTTTCCCATTTTTGTCTATTTGCTAAATTTTATATTTCCTTATAAATTGATCTTAACATATCTACTTTCCTTCCTTCCTACCCTCTGTCCTTTCTTCCTGACACAAAGTTCTGGTCTACATTATCATAGTACCTCCTAGATTCTCAGCTACTTGCAAAGTGATAGTAAGTTTCCAGGACTTCTCCTGGTCTTATTAGACCTACTTACTATCTATATACTTGTCACTTCTCATGGACTATCCCCATGAATATTAAACTCTTCTTGTACAAAACAAACCTGTGGTGTTGCCCCAGGAGTTCTGTTCTACTCCTAAGAACCTTAAGAGAATAATTGTCATTATAATCCACACAGTAGCTGAAGCAGACTACATGGAAGCCACATCAATACTTCCCAATTTAAACCCCATTTCATCTGAGTAAGTAGTACAAAGTACAAAAAAAAAAATCTTTCTGTGATAACTGTCAGGTAGAACAGAGACAAAACTTAAGTTTTATTTGTTTAAAACCCTAATAAGATTTATTTATGTGTGGTGTGTGTGTGTGTGTGTGTGTGTGTGTGTGTGTGTGTGTGTGTGTACATATTTACCAGGGGCGATCTATAGTATATACTACTTGGTTGTACTGATTGAATGAACAATGACTCTCTTACGGTATCACACTGACTCTGTTCCAGTGCAGATTCTTCATGTTGCATCCACCAAGCATGTCAGAAGTAACTAACACCACTCATAATCCTTTCTACTTTATCCTCACGGGCATCCCTGGATTTGAGGCTCTCCATCTCTGGATCTCTATCCCCTTCTTCTGCCTCTATACCATCTCCATTATGGAAAACACCACCATCCTCACTGTCATCCGCACAGAGCCATCTCTCCACCAGCCCATGTACCTCTTCCTCTCCATGCTGGCCCTCACTGACCTGGGTCTCACTCTTATTACGCTGCCCACTGTCATGCAGCTCCTCTGGTTCAACATTCGGGAAATCAGCTTTGAGGCCTGGTTTGCCCAGTTCTTCTTCCTCCATGGCTTCTCCTTTATGGAATCATCCGTTCTATTGGCCATGTCCTTTGACCGTTATGTGGCCATCTTCCGCCCACTCCATTATGCCTCTATCCTCACCAATGAGGTCACTGGTAGAATTGGGTTGACCATCATTTGCCGCTGTGTTTTAGCTGTTCTTCCCTCCCTTTTCCTACTCAAGCACCTGCCGTTCTGCCATTCCCGCCTTCTTTCTCACTCCTACTGCCTTCACCAGGATATGATTCAGCTGTTCTGTGCTGACATCAGGGTCAACAGCTGGTATGGATTTGCTCTGGTCCTGCTCATTATTGTATTAGACCCTCTGCTCATTATACTCTCCTATGTACTCATCCTGAAAAGCATCTTGAACACAGCCACTTGGACTGAGCGACTCCGGGCTCTCAACCACTGTGTGTCTCATATGCTGGCTGTTCTTGTTCTCTATGTCCCCATGGTTGGTGTGTCTATGACTCACCGCTTTGCCAACCATGCCTCTGCATTGGTCCATGTTCTCATGGCCAATATCTACTTATTGGCACCTCCTGTGATGAACCCCATCATTTACAGAGCAAAATCCAAGCAGATCTGCCAGGGAATCACTCGCCTCCTCTTGCAGAGAAAAGCACACTGAACACTGTAGTTAACATTTAAAGAGTAGTCTTATATACACAACATGGATTCATGCATAAATATTATACCATAACTTGTATATAACAAAGACACGGAGAAAAACAGATACTTTATAGGATGCCCCCAGTAAAACAAAAGACATTAAGACATTATTGTTTGACAGGAAATTAAGAGGAGTATTTTTTTAAGCTCAGGTTTGCTTTTCTCTTACCACTTGCCTTTGAGATGAAGAGATCCACTTTTAAAATATAGAGCTTTTTCTTTCTTCTACAGTGTTTTGAACATATGGTAAAGTGTATGACTTTGTTTTACAAACTCAAAATTCTTATAATGTATAAGCACACTCACTGAAGCTACAGCCTTTGCATGCCTTTTTCATTACTAAATACAATAATTTAATTAAACACAAGTTTTTATGTAATTTCAACCCATAACAGTGGGAGAAGCTCCCACTAGGGATTAGGAGACCAGTTAAGGAAAGAATAAATCATAGATGCTGGTCCTTCATAAAAGACAAGTGAATATTATATATCAAGAGCTGAAGTGGAATAAGTTTAAGAAGCTGAGAGTTTGGGGAAATAGGAACGTGAGAAACAGTTTAAATAATTTCATGCAGAGTTCACTTAAATTGTGTGATTTGGTTCCAGAAGTATCCACTAAACAATGGCTCTGGAAAGTAACAAACAGCTCTGATATCATCTTCTTATGTCTGTTTTGAAGTTTTCCAGTATTATCTACAGGAAAAACAGAAAATAAAATGCAGGCCAACCTAGATCTCATTAACAACTATTTACAATAAAGAAAACTATGCCATCATTAAGGGAACCATCATTAAGAGATCAGATCCTATCTAGATTTTAAAGCTTCTATTGTTTATATAAATTACATGCCAAATGCATTATTTTTAGTTTTTGTAAACTATTCCTTTAGGGTTTTCTTTTTAGATTATATTTACATCATGCCTCCATTTCCTTTTTCCTCCTCAAATCCTCCTGTATAATTGACTTGCTGTCTTTCAAATTCATACACTCTTTAACAATAGTATAGAATAGCTATTTCTAGAACACACATTTAAATATGTATGTATTTTTGTCACATATATTTATAATAGAATAAATATGAAATGATTTAAAACATATTTCACAATCAAAACTTTGTTGAAGACAGAAATAAAAAGTGATTTAAAGGCAATGTAATATATCTGTTAAAGAATATATTCTCAAATTCCTAACATTAATTATTAAAACATAGTATATTTAGATTCATTTAAGTGTATCATGAACTGTTTTAAACCTACTATAATACCTTTGAAAATGAACTCTCACCAACTACATACATTCATTATAAAATATTAGCTGTAAACCTGAAAATATTTAAGATAGATTTTTTTTGTTGTCTTAGAGAATACAAAACAAAAGTCTTAGAATTGCTGTTTCAAACAAAATGAGTGTTTCAAACCATTACTGTGTATAGGTGACAAAATAAATAGGGAGGGATGTCCGATGAAATGGAAATATTGTCATTGTGATTGGGTGAGAGAGGCAAAGAGCCTGTTACTAGACCTGTAAACCATTCTACAAAGGGAACTGCAGTTTCAGAGGTGAGAGTGTGGTCATCCCTATTGGATGAAGCTTTCTTTTAAACCACGGGCAGAAGGAGACAATTAGGCCTGTGCTTGTAGAGCTGAGTGAGAGGAGGAGTCAGAGAAGAGAATAGACTACATCACACAACATGCTGAAGCCAATGAAAGGTGAAGGAGAAGGAAGGAAATGGGAAGACATTCTAGAGTGATGCCTGGGCAGCTGAGTCTGTTCATACTTTATTTTATGCCTCAATTGAAATCATTCAATAAATGTTCGTAGAGTCATTAAATACACACAAATTCTGATTGTGGAGACCAATGTATACTGTTTTGAAGGAAGAATCAGTTACTTATATAGCAAGGTGGCTTTGTAGGTAGGTTATCAGACAACTTACTGTTTAAAGATGGACAATTTTCAGAGTGAAAGGTGGTCTAGCATAATGAAGAAAATATTGAAACCATGAATATCTGGGGCAAACAAGAAACTATATTTGTTCAAAGGTACATTTCCTTAATTGACTTTCTTAATTAAAGGGGACACTTCATCCATAGGAATCCCACAAAAGAGAAATTTTTTACTTATTTTAATTCAGATGCCATTAAACCTCAGAACCATTATTAATTTGCTATTTTCAAAGAGGTAGGAGGAATAAAGGATAAATTCATTTATCTCTATCTTTAATAATTATATGTGATTAGAGAAGAAAAGCATAGACTGTTTTCAGATACACATATATGTGAATAAAATGTAAGATGAGATGCACTTGAATATGTCACTTGTGATTCAGAATCAAATTTGTCATAATGCTTTGAATTCCTCCCTTCTTTTCCTTGTCAAAATGCCTAACCAAAAACTTTACCTGTGGGAGATTTACAATCATAGTTTTTTAATTCAATGATTATATCTGGCCCCTGGGTCTGTGATTCAGATCAATCTCTTCTTGCTGGAGAACAAAGAGGCAATTCCTTGTTGAATTGGACGGGTCTTAACACTATATATGATGGGATTGAGCACTGGTGGCACAAAAAGATATATGCTTGACATGAGTGTGTGGATCACTGGTGATGCATGCTTAGCAAGACGATGCATCACAGACACACCAATCATAGGCACATAATATATAAGTACTGCACATATATGTGCCACACATGTGTTGAGGGCCTTCCTCTGACCCTCCCGAGAAGCAATACCCATCACTGTGTAAAGAATGAACCCATAAGAAACCACAATGAGCAGTGAATCTAGTCCAAAAGTGGCCAGGACAATGGCCAAGCCCAGGATGCTGTTCAGCCTAGTATCTGCACAAGGCAGCTGGATCAGGTCTGAGTGGAGGCAATAGGAATGAGAAAGGATATTTATGTGACAATATGGCAGTTGTTTTAAAAGAATTGGAAGTGGGGCCATGAGTGCAACACTCTTCAGTGTAATACCCAGACCCATGGCTATGATCCGAGGCAGAGTTAAGATGGCTCTGTAGCGTAGAGGGTTGTAGATGGCTATGAAGCGGTCATAACTCATGGTTAACAGGACTCCTGACTCCATGCCAGAAAAAGTGTGAATGAAGAACATTTGGGCCAAACAACCATCAAAGTCAATTCTGTAGGCATCAAACCAAAGAATGCCCATCACAGTGGGCAGTGTGGACACAGAGACTCCCACCTCAGAAATTGCCAGCATGGAGAGGAACAAGTACATTGGCTCATGGAGAGCTGAGTTTGCCTGAACTGCTGCCATGATTAAGCTGTTGCCCACAATGGCAACCATGTACATGATGAAAAAGGGAATGGAAAGCCAGCCATGTTTGGCCTCCAGTCCTGGAATGCCAGACAGAAAGACTGTTAGCAAGTCAAGACTCTCATTGTTCTCTGCTCCCATGACACCAACAGTAGAAATAAGTCTTCACCTGCATTAGAAACAAACTGAAGTTAGCCCACACCTGTTGAGTCATACCTGTTAGCATCCACTAAAGGGAGAAAGGTTGTGGTGGGTGAAGTAACATAACAAACATTCACATCTTTCTTCCTGATCCCATGAGTCTCCAATGCCGCCCCCAGTCACATGTCAAGAAGGTATTTCAGATTTCTCAATCTTATGAGAGACTGCATTTTTGTTTGTTTATAAAATGAAAGTATACTCTCTCATATTTAAATAAGTAGAACATAGAGAATATTGATATTCAGTGTTTGTGTTTCTGATTTTCTAAGATGATGAAAGTGAGTCTCTGTTGGAGCTATGTTAGAGTCATCATGGAGTTGAATTTTCACTCAGCCACTGTAAATATGAGTAGAAAAGAATATTTGCATTTGCCTAAGTTGAAAAATATAGTAGCACATTTGGGTAAAAATACTGGATGAATAAATAACTTAATAACATGCAATAACTCCCAGTTTCAAAAGTGGTACTTTATAATTCCTTCTTCATGCTGCACATTGCTCACACTAAATCACTTTGTCTGCTTCTCAAAGTTCTGTCTTTTAATTCCTATACCACACAGGTCTCTTGGTCATACTCCTTCTGGATACAAAGTTAACATGAATAAACAATATGATCCACAGTTTACACAGTCACAGCTTTTCATAATACTGGGTAAACAATAAAAATTTATCTAAATCCTAACTTTATAGTATTTTATAGACTGTTAACATTTTGTTAACAGTCACATTCATGCTTGAACAGAATGTAAGGGTATTTATAATATATCTTGGCAATTGGTCTTTATAAATTATAATATTTCTATTCAGCAATATGCTTAAATTCTTCTTTACAGGTATTGTCTTGTATTTATTTTAAACCTAAATTCTTGGGGGTAGTTATTGTCTGTGAAATGAGTCTCTTTACCGACTCCTGCATCATTCTTTTTTTCCCTTATTTTACATTTCAATCCCAGTTCCCTCTCCCTCCCTCCTTTCCTCTCTCTGTCTCTCCCTCCCATGCACCCTGACCCCTTCCCATCCCATACCCCCCACTCTGCAGCAAGTGATGCCTTCCAGGAGGGTTCAACAAAATCTGTCAAGTCATTTGAATTAGGGACTAGGCCCTCCTTCCTGCCTCTAGGTTAAGGGAGCATCCCTCCATGAGGAATGTGCTCCCAAAGTCCTTTTGTGTACCAGGGATACATCCTGGTTCCACTGTCAGAGGTCCCTTAGACTGCCCAGGCATTCTAACTGAGACCCATGCTTAGGGGGTCTGAGTCAGTCCAATGCTGGTTTCCCAGCTATCAGTCTGGGGGCCCATTAGCTCCTCTGTGTTCAGGTCAGCTGTCTCTGTGGGTTTCTGTAGCCTGGTCTTGTCCTCCCTCTCTGCATCTGGATTCTAATTCGGCTCAGTGTTTAGTTGTGGGTGTTTGCTTCTATTTCCAACAGGTACTAGATGAGGGCTCCATGATGGTGGGTAAGTTAGTTGTTGATCTCATTATCAT